AGGCGGGGTGCTAGGCTAGGAGTCCTGACACCAGTCACTGGGCAGATTCCAAAGGCAAGGCAGTGAGTTCCCTGCAGACCTGGCAGGTCAAGGGTCCCTGGGAGCTGTCCAGGGGAGTCCTCAGATGAATGGTCGGCAGAGTGTCCTGTCCTGGGCTACCAGGACAGCCTGGTCTGGCCAGCCACTTTTTTTAAAACTTAATTTTATCATTTCTTTTTGGCAGCTCCGGGTTCTTCATTGCTGTGCGTGGGCTTTCTCTAGTTGTGGCGCACGGGCTTCTCATTGCGGTGGCCTCTCCTGTGGCAGAGCACAGGCTCTGGGTCATGCAGGCTCGGTGGTGCGTGGGGTTCGTTGCCTTGTGGCATGTGTTCATGTGGCATTGAACCCGTGTCCCCTGCACTGGCCAGCAGGTTCTTAACCATTGGACCACCAGGGAAGTCACGGCCAGGCACTCTCACGCACACAATGTTGTAAAAAGCAAGGTCACTGTGATTGGCAGTAAAGAGATAAGGAAATGTACACTCCGCAGAGAGACCGGGGGAGGACAGTCCTGATGGATGAGATTCCAGTGCCTGTATTTCTGTACAAGAGTAATTCTCCTTTCTATTTTAAGCCAGGGGAATCCCCCTTCTCCGTACCATCCACTCTGAGCACAAGAAGTCACCCCACAAAAATCTTTCATGTTAATTTCATCTTCATATGCTTATTACACATCTTCTTGGCTCTTGAGATTTGCATATATACATATACATACATGTGTGTGTGTGTGTGTTCAGCGGGACTGTGGAAATTTATGCTCACAACAGCTTTGTAAGATAGCATTTGACAACATGTTGTCCTTGTCAGTGTTAGGTAAGAGCACTTCAAAAATATTTGCTAATTGACCAGGAAAAGTAATATTATTGTTTTATTTTATATTTTAAGTATTTTAGTTATTTTATTATTATAGTTTGAATTGAATATTAATATACCTCAAAGGAATGCATTGTTAAATGCTAATGTTACTTTTTTCCAGCTATTTACACCAAAATGCAAAATTTCAGGAGCATTTAAATGCTACAGAGTGAAAGTTGTTCTTTTTTTTTAAGACTCTGACCATCTCCCTTTAGTAAATTGAGGCCATTCTTGGTTACTTCAAATTTTAATTCAGTATTTTATTATATGGACTCTCCATTTCCTAATATGTATTCTTTATATAACCTCTGAATTTATCATCTATGCCTTGAAGTGCCAGTAGCATATTTCTTTATTTTGGTTCTCAAATTACCATGTGGAAAAATTGACATTTATTTTGGGTGAATCATTCTGAGTTTACGTCTAGATTTCTGTGACTGCCACCACAGCCAGGCTATAAAACAGACCGTCCCCCCTAACCTGCTCATGCCATTCCTTTATAATCACATCCTGTCCGCTAACTACTGATTTTTTTCTCCCATGTAGCTTATCTTTTTAAGAATGTCACATAAATGCAGTTATATAGTATCTTGCATTGTTTTTACGTTTCTTAAATTGCTCACAAGGCTGGAAATTTTCTTAAAAACTAGTTACAACTATGTTTTTTGTATTTTATATGTTTGTGTCATTGTCACTTATTTAGTTGGGTCATGGGTAGTGGTTTGGGGTATTTTTTTCTACACATTTGTGTATACTTATTATATAAGAATGATGATCACTTCTTTTCTGTTACATTTACCATAGATATTTTCCCTTTTTGTTATTTTCTTTAAATAGTAATCTCTTACAAATAGTAATATCATTTGATCTAGTAATACTAGAGTTCTCTAGTGACTTAGTCTGATACAATCTTCCTAAATTAAAAAAATATTGTAAAAGGTGCTTATCAGTTAATTTCTATTATGGAATAACTGGACACAATCTCAATATGTAACTATAAGACTTTAATAAGGCAGATAATGGAGCTGTCCCTCAATGGGATATCATGCAAGAATTAAAAGGATGCTTAGGAAGATGACATAGTAACTTGGACAATCTTCATGATAAAATGTTAAATTAGAAGTCATATAATCTCGTACACACAGTATGAGCACGGAATATAAAACAAAAACACAAAACCCATTAATTAAAATAGACTAGAGAAAATCCATCAAAATAATGAATGCAATTTGCCTCAGGTAAGGAGAGTTTTACTAACTTTGTGTATTTTCTTCATTTCATGATAATCACCTATTACTGTTTTTAAATCAGTTTTTATTGGGGTATAGTTGCTTTATAATATTGCGTTAGTTTCTACTGTACCACAAAGTGAAGCAGCTATACGTATACATATGTCCCCCCACTTTTGGATTTCCTTTCCATTCAGAGCACCACAGAGCGCTGAGGAGAGTTCACTGTGCTGCAAGTAGCTTCTCATTAGTTGTGTTTCATACAGCGTATCAGTAGTGTGTGTTAATCACAGTCTCCCACCCTCCCTTCCCCCTTAGTAGCCATATATTAGTTCTCTACGTTTGTGTCTCTATTTCTGCTTTGCAAATAAGATCATCTATACCATTTTTCTGGGGCTTCCCTGGTAGCTTAGTTGGTAAGGAATCCACCTGCAATGCCAGAGACCTCGGTTCGATCCCTGGGTTGGGAAGATCCCCTGGAGAATGGAAAGGCTACCCACTCCAGTACTCTGGCCTGGAGAATTCCACGGGGTCATGGAGTCAGACATGACTGAGCAACTTTCACTTTCACATACCGTTTTTCTAGATTTCTTATTTCTATGCATTGTATTTGTTTTTCTGACTTCGCTCTGTGTGACACCCTAGGTCCCCATTGCTCGTAGCAGCACCATTTACCAGGACAGGATCACCTACTGCTGATACAGAAGGAGAGAAGATTCTGAGTAGCTCAGGAATAAAATGCTACCTTTTGCCTTAAAAAGGCACCCCTGAGCTTGAGGCTTTATTGAATGATGTGTGAGGTGAAGCACGCAAATGTCAGTTCTGCTTTCTAAATGTCAAAATGTCAGATGCCGTCCCTGGGACCAGGCCTTTGGCACGAGAAGCGTTGCCTTTGCTACCAGATAGATGGATGCATTGGGCAGATGGTCAGAATGCCACGTGTGAGGGCATAGGGCAGGCAGACTGGCGAGGGAACCCGGATCACTCATGGATAGGACATCGGGTGATGTCTACACCAGCCCTGCGGGAGGAGGGGGTTTCACTGCAACTCACTTCCTTACTGTGATAGAACCCCTGTGGACCCTACAGCCTTCTGTCTGTTCCCCAGACAGATTTTCCCAGGTGCTCGTTGAGCGCTGTTTCCTAATTCTGAGCCCAGCCTGGAAATAGCAAAGTGACACGTCGTCAGTAAAGGTCAGATTGCTTGTAACTCAGACATTGAGTCACTGCTCCCTCCCGGCTCAAGTCAGAATGAATTGCTTACCTTCAGCTTGTTTTGAGGAAATCGTCAAAAAAGTCCACACATGGTAAATAGTCCCATAAATGATGCTGGTTCTTGGTGACCGGCTTGATCAGTGGAAGAATATAAATTTGTCTGAAAGATCTACATGACCCAGGAACCCTGGGGGGAGAGGTGAGGGGGTCTCAAGTTTTCTCTGGAAAATTCTCAGTTTTTAGACAGGCTTCTACCCAAGAGTTCTAAGCTCAGAGGGTAAGGGGGCTCCCTAAAGACAAACCAGGTAGTCACCTCACTGCTAAGAGGCTAAGAACATGAGACAAATCGGGATGATTCTATGACCATCTCTTTTACTTAAACCTGCTGAACTGCAGGAAATTGGGACTCTCTTAATTGCCATGAAGTTAACAGCAGTTGTCAAGGGCCCCTGATATGTCTCCCTGTTGGTTCAAAAAAAAAACCAAAGACCAGCAGCCTTCCAGAGGTCCAGAGGACTGGTGATCTCTCGTGGCTTTGCTGGCTTCAGATGCTGAGTTGGAGATTTCCAGTTGTATCATCGATTCTGGCATCTGGGAGCCTGTTACTCTGAGTAGTTTTGTTCTTTTCCACAAAGATAGGAAAGATGGCCAGTGCTCTTTCTTCTTGATACTGGGTTGGTCAAAAAGTTCCTATAACCTCTTACAGAAAAACCCAAATGAACTTTTTGGCCCATACACATTCCCTTTGGCTTCCTTAAGAATGTTTTGGAAAATTCATGAATGTAATCTGTTCAAGAAACAGGAAGCAAGAATGTAATTTTATCACTTATTATTGATACCAGGTAATAGTTTCAGATTCATGGAACCTCATGGAAAAGTAGGTAAACAAGGGAGGGAGCTTTAGTTGAAGTAAATGGTCAAAGAAAAGAACAATAGATGAAAAATCAGACTAGAACCCCTGACTCTGTAGCCAACACTAAGGTGATTTTCACCCACATCTCTTGGAAAGTGTAATTATTAGATCTTTGACTTTTATAAAGTCCTTTGTTTCTCTTTCCACAATGAAGTTGCTATTTTATGATGGTCAGTGATTTAGGGTTTTTGGTGGTTCAAACTGTTCAGAAGCTCTTTAAATACACACACACACACACTCTGTCTAAAGTAAACAGATCAGCTGCTAAATAAATGCCCAGAGCCCATTCCATCACACACACAAATAGCCTGTGTAAGAATTTCACAGTATCATATTTAACTGCTGTGACTAAAATAGACTCACTGTTTATAAACTCATTTCCTTATTACTGTGTTGTTTCCTGGGTACCTACTTGACTAATAGAAGAAATGAAGTGTTGGAATGCTTTTGCGTCTCTCTGCAACTATTAAGTATAACTTCATTCAATTAGGAGTGGAACTTAGGTCTAACTGACAAGGTTAAATATCCTTAGTCCAGGACGCCACTTTCTCTGGCACATCAGCCTGTGGTTTGGGGTGAGCCCAATAATGCACCGTGCAGAAGGGGAAGTAAAACATTTGTTTGAATGGATAGTTGAGCCACTTGAGGCTCTGGCTTTCAGAGATAAAGCACTGGTTGGGAGGGATGCAACACCCAAAATAATATATTTTACAGTCTTCAAACAGCTGTTGTCTTCTGTCGCTTTGCAGGGAGTGACCATCATGTCACCGTTTCTCCGAATTGGTTTGTCCAACTTCGACTGTGGGTCCTGCCAGTCGTGCCAGGGTGAGGCGGTTAACCCTTACTGCGCTGTGCTTGTCAAAGAGTATGTTGAATCAGGTAAGCTTGAGTGGGTGTTGGACCTGGGGGGTGGGCGAAGAGGAAGACCCTGCAGTGAACTGGGAAGCAATGCCTTCCAGGATCTTCAAGGTCAACCTGACTCAACCTTACTTTCCAGCCCAGGAAACGAATGCCCAGAGAAGCCAAGTACTTCCTCAGGGGGCACATGGGCTTAGTAACAGCCTCTTTGAACTAGACCTGGTTGCCTGCCGTATGTTCTAGGTCATGGTCCCACTTTCCACATAAACAAAGGAAAGGAGAAATGAGTTGAGGACGTTACGTAAGGGGTTAACGAAGGGGAAAAAAAAAAATCTACTTATTAGCTAAAGTAGAACATGGTACAGTATTGTCTGATTGTTTTCTATGATTATAGATAAAGTCTGCATTGTCTTGCATTTTGAAAAATTTTATTTGGAGGATACTTGCTTTAGAATATTGTGTTTGCTGCTGCTATACCACAACGTGAATCAGTCTTAAGTATAGGTCTGTCCCCTCCCTCTAGACCTCCCTCCCACCCCTCCAGGCTGTCTCAGAGCACACAGCAGCTTCCCACTAGCTATCTGTTCTACATATGGAAATGTATATGTTTCAGTGCCACTCACTCGATTTGTCTCACCCTCTCCTTCCCCTACTGTGTCCAAAGTCTGTTTTCTGTATCTGTGGATTTATTCCTGCCCTGAATATAAGTTCATCAGTACCATTTTTCTAGATTCCATGTATATGTGGAATAACATATAACAAATATACAATACGAAAACAAATATATGGTATTTCTTTTTTTCTTTCTGACTTCACTCTGTATAACAGGATCTAGGTTCATTCTCACTAAAACTGACTCAAATGCACTCCTTTTTCTGGCTGAGTAATATTCCATTGTCTTAGAATTAATGCCAAAGATATTTTACTGCTTCTTTGACCAAGTTCAGATAAACAGTACAAAAAAATATAGAATTAGCTATTAGGGTTCAAATTTCAGAAGACTTCCTTTACTAAGACCCCAGGTGAGTTAAAGAATTTGGTCAGATTTAAATATTCATGAAAATTTCATGGGGAGGAGGAAAGCATGACAGTCTTCCAAGATTCCTTCATGGGATTCCAAGATTCCTTCCTTCCTTTAGATCTTTCCATTAAAATCATCCTACTCTGGCTTGTCTAAATTACTGGTAGAGCAATGTAACTAGTGTGCCCATTTGAGCATGGTAGTACCGTGGAGTCAAGGAATTTTTCTAAATGAAATAGTAATTAACATCACTGTACGTTGTAATAAGTGAACAGGCAAAAAATGAGTATTGAATGGACACTTGGAATACTGTCTTCCATTTGGAAGAATGAATGAACATAAAGCTAAATTATTTAATGAACTGACTGCTAAAATATTTTAAAGAAATTTGAAAATATTTTAACCAATTTATTTCCTGAAGCTCATTAGAAATGATAATGTGAGTAAACAATGTCACCCAGGAAAAAGAAGATAATCCTATTCTGTCTAGAATATCTTCATGATCACTTAAGCAGCTCCTGTCCTCTCTGATCCCTGCCTCTGAGTTTTAAAGTTCTCATGGACTTTCTAAAAACAGAAAAGGAAAACATAAAGCAGGAGGAAGTTTACATCTCATGGTTTTCCCAGCCTCCCTGCCTTTCCCTACCTCCCTACACACATTTCTGGCTTTAGCAGACGACACTTCGTAGGGAAGTCTGATTGCTACCGATGCAGTCACGGGAATGGTAAGGAGTCACTACAGTGCGTTTACAGAGAAGGTATTTATGGAGCGCCTACTGTATACTGGGCCAGAAGACTTGCCTTTCCTTCAGAGTTCCTCTCCTAGCAGAAGATAAGCAGAAAACAGAAAGATCACATAGTAAGTCATGTGAAGTGAACATACCAATGCAGGGTTGTTCGGGGAGAGAATTGGAGCTGGAGAGAAAGATGGAGAGAGAAGGTAGTCTTGAAAAAGAAAAAGTGAATGACATTCCTGGGTGCAAGAGGAACCTGATTCTGCAGGGGACGACCTCCAGCTGGATGTGTCCAGCTCAGAACCCTGGGGTTTCCAATCCTGGACGCTGGCTTTTCTTTCCCTTAAAAGACTTCTCCGCGCTCAACTGGCTTCTGCCTTCCAGCCCCGGGAGCACATCAAAGCGGAGGAGACTGACTGATCATCTCCAGTTCCCTTCTGCCCAGATCCCTCTCCTGTTTAGTTAACAGTGAGAATGGCACTTGCTCCCAATCTAAAACCTTTCAAATGTCACCGAAATCTTTGAAGTGTGCAATGTCTGAGTTTTTCAAAGCTGCTTTTTGACTTAATGGGTCTCTTGGATCTGGTTCCCTTTACATCCACAGGTCTCGCTGACATTTGCCTCCTGGGAGCCTTTTTTTAAAAAGTATCTATTTCTTCTTTTGGCCTTGCCTTTGAACTTGGTCTAATCAGCCACATGAATCAAGAGGACATGTTGGAAAAGAAGTTTGTTTTTCTGAAAGGTTAGCCTGTGGAGCGCAGAGGTTTTTGTTTTTTCATTTTGTTTTAGTTTTGTCCTGAAAAGAAATCTCTCTGAACTTGGTATTTAAAACATTACTTCTGTAGAGTTTTAGCAGGTTTCTGTGTTCGGGATGTGAAGGCTGCATTCTACGTAAAGCAAAGAACAGGAGCAAATAGGACACAGTGCTGTCGGTCTGGGAGCCTTTGAAAATAGTAAACCTCACTGTAAATAGACAGGATCTTGAGTTCTGGTTCTCCTTATAAATGATGACAGTCTTTACTGAATGAAAGTGTGAAAAATGCTGTGGGAATTTCTGCCCATTTCCTGGGTGTGCTGAAGGATGATGGTTGGAGGAAGTTAAAGGAATTTTGAGAGGTAGCTTGAAGCCTGTGGAAGTAAAACATTACTCTGATCACTACTATTGCCATGGCTTTTTTTTTTTAAGTCCAATCCTGAGTTAAATTTCTATTAAATCGTAAAATTATTCCCCTTCCAGTTCCATACTTAACCTTGCTAGAGTTTATACCTCTCACAGCCAGGTTTACCTACAGTGTGAAGTTTCAGCTTATTCAAATCCTTGTATACCTCCCAAAGAGTAATTTAGCAAATGCCTGATGCCTGTTCTCTTTCAGCATCATGCGTCAAGAGTTAGAACTGCTTTGCTTCCCTGCTTTCAGTGACAGTTTCGTTTTGCTTTATCAACATCTCTGATAAATCTCTGCTCAAACTGCCACTTCATGTGCTTATGATCACAAGAAAGAAACCCTGAAATGCAGCTGCAGTTTTCTGCTCCTGCAACGACTAAAGAAAAAATACTACAGAGAATCCGATATGGATGGAGGATAGGACAACACTGCTGAATCCCTAGTAGTCACTTTCCCTGGTGGTTCTGGGATGGTTCCCTTAAACTTTATCATCCTGCCCTTGGTTACTGTCACGAACCATTTGCAGGCCCCCTGCAGCCTGCTTCACTGACTCCGGGGATGACGACCTCCACCTCTCTGAGATACTTGTTAGTTTTTGCTTAGGTTGCATGGTTTATGTTAAAGTGCATCCTCATTTTGAGAAGAAAATAATGGTTCATGATATTTTAAAGGTTTTGCCTATTAAAGGTATTTGTGTTGAGTGGAAATTTTTAAAATATCTTTCTAAAAGAGCACTCAGTATAAGCCTGAAATTGTCAGTGTCTTTTTCAAATCAACACACAGTAGTTTTATATTATCTTTTTTTTTTTTACTAGATACCAGTGAAATTGAACAGTCATGTGTCCACCCTTAATACATTAACACAGAAGGATCCCCAAAGGCATAAAAGTATAAAACTGGTTAAAAGGGGAGGATCTAGGTCACTGTCCTCTATCAAACATACCAGGCTTAGCTGCTGGGTTCTTTATATTTGCTCAGGTGTTCAGACTTCAAAAGAAGCAACTGATGAATAGGAAAAGAGCATTGCCAGTGCAACATGCCAGATTTATTTGCATAAATTGTCCAGGTTGACTTCCAAGTTTTAGTACATTACCTTGCATGTAGACCTTGGAGCCATCTCATTTTGTCCTATTTTATCTCTAATTTCTTTTTTACAATTTTTTTAATTGGACTATAGTTGATTAACAATGTTGTGATAATTTCAGATGCACACCAGAGCGATTCAACCATGCATGCATACATGTATCCTTTCTCCCCCAAATCCCTCTTCCATCCACGTGGCTACATAATACTGAGCAGAGTTTCCTGTGCTATACAGTAGGACCTTGTTGGTTATCCATTTTAGATATAGCAGTGTGTGCATGTCCATCCCCAAATCTCTAACTATCCCTTCCCTCCATCCTTCCTCCCTGGTAACCATAAGTTCATTCTCTGAGTGTCCCTAATTTTTGTATGTGTTATTGTTTTTCTCCCAAAACACTTGTATAGTCCTCGAGAGCAGAGGGGATGGGTGAATTATTTCCCAGAACCAGCTAAAATGAGAACATATCTTTCCATTCCTAGAGAATGGGCAGATGTACATCCAGAAAAAGCCAACCATGTACCCGCCCTGGGACAGCACTTTCGACGCCCACATCAACAAGGGAAGAGTGATGCAGATCATCGTGAAGGGCAAAAACGTGGACCTGATATCCGAGACTACCGTGGAGCTCTACTCCCTGGCCGAGAGATGCAGGAAAAACAATGGGAAGACAGAGATATGGGTAAATAGCCAAGGCATGAGCTTCATTTATGTGTATATTCCATCGTAGCTGAAGACTGGTACAGAATTTCCGTGTCATCCTGAAGGTTGACATCCTAAAGGCCTTGAGGAAACTGACTCCCTACCACTGACTCATTGGTGGCTTGACTGTGACAAGAGTATTCATTGTGGACTATACAACATACTAGCATACTCAAATTTCTTTGATTCTTGTGTAAAGGAAATAAGGTCTCAGGGTGTGAAGAACTGTTATTGATCTATAACTGTTAAAGTCAGCTTGAAAATACCACAAAATTGTCATAGCCTGGGAACCTACCTGTGACCTGTGTGTCAAGGTATCACATGAATATCAAGATATCTAGATACCTACATGTTATCTTGATAAACTATCTTAGATAAGATGCTGGATAGATAAGTGAGAAGAGAGCAAAGATCCCTTTAATATCTCAATCCCTGTAATTTTTTTTTGTCATGTGTTTGCTTAGCTTGTTGTTGTTCAGTGCTCAGTCGTATTTGACTCTTTCTGACCTCATGGACTGCAGCACGCCAGGCTCCCCTGTCCTCCACTATCTCCCAGAGTTTGCTCAAATTCATGTCCATTGAGTCAGTGATGTTATCCAACCATCTTATCCTCTGCCACCCCCTTCTCCTTTTGCCTTCAATCTTTCCCAGCATTGGGGTCTTTTCCAGTGAGTCGGCTCTTTGCATCAGATGACCAAAGTATTGGAGCTTCAGCTTCAGTCCTTCCAATGAATACTCAGGATTAGCTTACTTTGCTTTAAAAAGTACATCATACACAATCCATGTTACCACACAGACTTTTGAAAACTTCTATTCTAAAGATTTGTTACCAAAATAGTTATGAAGTTGAAAGGAGAAGTAAACTATGAAAGCATAAAAAATTCTTGTGAAAATTTCTGGGGTACAAAAATTAAAGAAAATATATGAGTTAAAGCTGCTTTTGTATGATCTGAAGCCCAGAAAGTGTTTTCAAATGTCTGCATCCTTTATGCAAAGGCAGAGACTCTTACCTTTCAACTTCATACTTCATATAACTCAGATTCTTAAGAACACCAGCCAAAAGATTTTCAAATACCAGATTTCAAAATGGGAATGATATAAGCCTAAAACCTATTTTTTTGTGTCAATTGTATATTTTTTACCTTAAAAGAGAGATACTTTTTAGGAAAGTATATCTGTCTTTGCTTCCATCACTAAAGTAATCTTTAAAGATAACAATATGTCAAGATTTTTTTCTTAAATTCCCACATGCTTCAATGTATTTAGATAATTTAGTTCAGGGTGTCTGTGAACTCATTCAGCCTGGTGAGCGATCACAGAAACAGAATTCCTCTTAGGTAGCCGGTTATGCACATAGGAAGTGGATAAATACGTGAGTAATGTCACAGGTATGTGACTTAGTGGTAAAGGTTGATACAGACCTGTTGGGGGAGAGGGTGAGACTGCAGATACCACTGAGTCATGGAGCGTTTGACCAGGCTCAGAGAAAGAAGAGAGAAACTAGAGATAATCTTCCTCTGTTTTTCCCCCATTCCCATTTATTTTCCACTTTCTGCCCCATTTTTTTAAAAACGGAGGAGTCACCAAATCTCTAATTTTTAAAGTAGCATACTATTAACTTCCTTTTCAATGAATAAAGGGATAACTATTTTTAAAATTCTTTTACTTTGCATCCTTGACAAACAAGTTGTTTTTCTATTTATACCTCTTAAAGTTGCATTTGCTTTCTTGCTGAGGCATTTTTTTTTAAAGTTTATTCTTGTCAGACTTTCCATGTTTTTTGCATGTTGGGATTATTGAGACATAAGCCCTTAGATCCACCTTTAACTACTAGCAACCTTCTTATGTTTTCCGCCTTTGTCAGTTTCAAGGTTATTTCCTAGTTCACTTTTATTTATCATGTTTAAGGGTCAACAGATTGCTTTGGACTTAGTTTCCCTTGCTTCTGTTGAAATCTGCTTTCTTAAAGTTAGTTTCTCTATTTAAAAAAAAAAAAGATTTTCTCAGAGTTGCCTCTTACCTCCAGAGTCACCATCCAGTTTCCAAACATTGATATTTTCTTTCTGCTTTCCCAAGGTTTTCCCTGTTGGTGTGGTTATCCCCCACTCACTCATAAATGTGATGGAATCTGACTTTCTGTGGAGGTTGGTTGTTTGGTAGCTCTCTGATTTAATTTTCTCCATCACCACTAATTCCTGAATATTAATAACATTGCAGTCACCTGGTACCAGTTTTTCCCACTTCCTCTGGGAATGAGCCCCTATCCCTCACTCTTCTAGTTTTATTTTTGCCTCCATTATTTATTATTCCATAAACCAGAGAATAATGGTATATGTACTTAATGTCAAAGGCCTTTCTCTTTTCACTAATCTATTTAAGCCATTTAAGAGTCAGACAGAACTTAGCAACTGAACAACAAGAACAAATTTAAGCTTTCATGGAAATGTGTAGTTAACCAAGTGGTACAAGCTCGTCACATCATAAAATTCTAATAGTAGTGATGCTGTACCATTGGCATTGCTATTATGTCAGTTTCTCCAATATCTTTAAAGGTCTGGTGGAAGGTACAAGGTCACCATGACTTTGGATTACTTAACCATGATTCAGTCCTGAGTTCAACCAGACCCTTCTTGTTATTTTTCAGTTATTCTAGTTACCCACAGATGTAATGATCAGCAATGGGCTTCAGTTCACCTTTTTTTTTTCTTTTTAGCATGTGAACAATGCTGTGTTACAGTTTAGTTATATTATTAGTGGTTAGTCAGGTCTTCTCAGATTTGCCATTATGTCACATCACATAATCTGCATCATCCCTTAACAGGTCACTTTGTCTGGTCCCTTCTGCATAATGATACTGAAATATATATATATTTAATCCCTTCCTTGACCAATCTAATTAAAATTTCCCTTAGTAGATGGTCCAGCACTTTCCAAAGGAAGTGGGTTCTCTATGTGAAAGTAAAAGGCCACTTTCATTTAATACCCCTACTAACCCAGAGGCCCTGGTGGCTGAGCAGTAAAGAATCACCTGCAACTCAGGAGATACTGGGTCAGGAAGATGTCCTGGAGGAGGAAATGGCAACCCACTCCGGTATTCTTGCCTGGGAGATTCCATGGACCGAGGAGCCTGGCAGGCAGCAGTCATCAGGCCGCAGAAAGGTGGACATGGCCTTGAGGAAGTTTTGATCTCCAAATTAAATTTGTGAGGTGCTGAGATGTTTTGATAAAAGAAGGGTTATATTTGTGGATGCTGTGCTATTTTGATGATAACATGAGTGACCAAGATGAAAAGGAGCAGGGCTGCGCTGGAAATCTCCTGCCTCACCCAGCTCATTAGTTGGGATGTCGTTCAGCTCAGCGCTTGCCTCACACTCTGACCCATGTTTCTTTTCTTCCTTCCACCAGTTAGAGCTGAAACCTCAAGGCCGCATGCTGATGAACGCAAGATACTTTCTGGAAATGAGCGGCAAGTGACATTTCTTATTCCTATTTGGGGATGAGGTGGGCAACTTCTTTCACTTTTTCGAAAGCAAAGAAAATGGAATCACAAGGAATTTCCTTAAAATTTCCAATGATGCTTGAGCGTGAGTTGAATATACACTCTGTGGGACCAGAGACATACAGAAATATAAAACATTTATAGCATTTACTTTTGAAAAACTTTTGTTTTTGGCTGCACTGGTCTTCATGGCGGTGCTCAGGCTTTCTCTCGTGGAGGTGCGCAGGCTTCTCATTGAGGGGGCTCCCCTTACTGCAGAGCTCTGGCTCCACGCCACATGGGCTCAGTAGCTGTGGCTCACAGGCTCTAGAGTGTGGGATCAGTAGTTGTGGTACATGGGCTTAGTTGCCCCGCCGCATGTGAAATATTCCCAGACCAGGGATCAAACCTGTTTTCCCTGCATTGGCAGGCAAATTCTTAACCACTGGACCACCAGGGAAGTCCAGCATTTATTTTTACGTGGTGTGAATGCACATGCCCAGGGCTTTTCTAGTCTGTCTATATTTTCATTTGGGAATTTACTGTAAACACCAAGGGTTCTGCTAATGTGCTGCCCTGTGTGTACACGCTGTGTATAAATGATGTGATATGACACGTGGTCACACCGTCAGAATACAAAATGAATAAGAAGCTGATAAATACTTTCCTTAGCCCTAGAAGGACAGAGGACCAATGCTTCAAGTTAGTCATCTCAAATGCTTTTAGGAACAAGCAAGGAAGAAAATATGTCACTGAAGACTTTCCCTTGCATCTCACATACAGACACCGTTCATAGAAGTTACATGTACGAGCCGTGTGCATGGTGTCTCAGACAGCCTGTCAGTTCTTCCTGTGGCCTTTATATCCTGTTGTCAAAATGCTGTGTAAATGAATCAGATGCTACTACTCTTCAATCTTTTTTTTAAGTATAGTTGATTTACAATGTTGGGTGAGCATCAGATCTATGCATCCCCCCACACACATATGTATATATACTTTCACATCCTTTTCTCTTATAGGTTATTACAGAGTATTGAGTATAGTTCCCTGTGCTGTACAGTAGGTCCTTGTGGAGTATCTGTCTATGTGTGTATGTTAAGCCCGTTCCTGTTTTATGCCTCCATGCCCTTCTTCTTTGGTAACTATAAGCTTGTTTTCTGTGAGTCTATTTCTGTTCTGTAAATAAGTTCATTTGCATCATTTTTTTAGTGTCCACCCATAAGTGATATCATATAATATTTGTCATTGTCTGTCTGACTTTACTGCACTTAGTATGACCATTGCTAGGTCCGTCCGTGTTGCTGCAGGTGGCATTATTTCATTCATCTTCCTATCTCACTGAGAACTTAGGAGGTGCTCAGTGAATGTGTGTTGAACTGTTCAGTTGGGCTCTCTCTGGCATTTAGAAATGCCTTTTCTTTCCCTTTGGTTCCCACTCAGTGACTGTCTCAAATATTCCCGTAGTCCTTCTGAGTTGCCGAGGGAGCCTGCTAACATTGTAGAACCGGGAGAGACCGTGTCTTCCGCCGTGTCTGCACTTTAGGGCTCAGCGTCTTCTTCCTGAGCCCCCTTCCTGCTCTGGCCTCTGAGAGAGTCCCTCCCTTTCTTGGCGTCCTGGCTGCCGACCCTGGCGGCTCTGTAATACCAGCACTGCTTCCTCTCTGGCATCTTCAGCTTCTCCTTCTCTCTTTGCTTTCCACCTCATTGCCAAGACATACATAATTATGCCATCTTCTCCAACGTGAAATAGATATTTTTTAAAATGCTTTTTACTGTGATAAAAGTCACATAATATATACTATTTTCACCATATTTAACAGTACAGTTCAATGACACCAAGTCCATTCACATTGTTGTGCAGCTCTCACCATCTCCACCCTCTGGAGTTTTTCACCTTCCTAAACTGAAGCTCTGTCCCCATGAAACATGAACTCCCCATCCTTGTCTCCCCACCCCACCCGTCCACCCCACAGCCCCGGGCATCTACCGTGTGCTTTCTGACTCTATGAATTTGACTATTCTAAGTACCTTGTCTAAGTGCAATCAAAAAGTATTTGTTTGCACCTAATATATATTGTATAATGTATATTGCAATCTATTTAAATGTTATTTATTTTTAATTGAAGGATGATTGCTTTACATTATTGTATTGGTGCAAACATGAACGTGAATCAACCCTAGGTATACATATGTCCCCTTCCTCTTGAACCTCCCTCCCCGTCCCACCCACAGGTTGTTCCAGAGCCCCGGTTTTAGCTCCCTGAGTCACACAGCAGAAGGTTAATTTAACATATGTCCTAGGACTTCCGTGGTGGCTGATGGTAAAGAATCTGCCTGTAATGCAGGAGACCTGGGTTTGATCCCTGGGTTGAGACGATCCTGTGGAGAACGGGATGTCAACCCCCTTGCCTAGAGAATTCCATGGACAGAGGAGCCTTGCAGGCTACAGTCCCATGGGATCACAAAGAGTCGGACACGACCAAGCAACCAACACCAACATATGTCCTACAAACAGGTTACCTTCTTTTGTTCCCTGAGCTATACAGGAGGTTCTCTTTAGTTACCTGTTTTATACCTAGTACTGTGTTTATATGTCAGCCCCAATCTCCCAGTCTAAAGGTATTTTTTAAAACCTTTTTTCCTCTACAAGGCTTTCTTTCCTTTCATTCCCTGACACATTTCTTGAGAAAGTAGTTTAATATATTATTCCTTTTTTCTTCACTACTCTATCAACCCTTAAACCCAAAGAATCTGTCTTATATTTCTATCCATCTGCTAAATGGCTTTCTCCAAAAGAATGAGTCCTCAAAACAAATGTTTGTTTCTTAAGCTTCAATTCCCTTGACATCTCTCTATCTGTCAATGCTGAGAAACCTTTTCTTTCTTGGATTGCTTGATGTAATATTATTCAAGTTTTTCTCTTAATTTTTCAGCTGCCTCTTCATGGCCTCTTTTGTAATTTCTTTTCCTACCTCCTGAAAATATGGGAGTTCTTATGTCCAAGTCTGTTCTTTGTGTAAGTGCCATCCCTTCCTGATTTACCCATTCAAAATTAGGGGTCTCATAATTCTCTATAATATCCTGCATAGCAATTCACTTATAGCTCCCCAGGAAATGTGTGACTTAATTGACTACAAACAAGTGATTGGTTAAACTAAACAAATAGATTAGGCACCATTGCTATAAAATAAATAACCAAATATATAAGAATCAGTGAGCTTATTCAAACCAGTGAACAAATGGAAGGCCAAATTACTTCAGAAATAAACAGTAATTACAAGGAGAATTTTTAAAATTCTGAGCTTTTATACATTTACTTTCTTATAAGGATTGAAATGGCCAGAGGATAAAGGAATTATAGCAAGGAGCAAGTGAATGAATTCCTTACCTGTACTTTCTGACATATTTTTAAATGTACAGTGTTCTAATACACAGACTATTTTATATTTATAAACATACAGTTGCATATAGTCCAGACTATTATTTATAATAGCTTATTAGACTATTCGGTCAATAAAGAATCTGCCTGGGTTCGATTCCTGGATTGGGAAGATCCCCTGTAGAAGGAAGTGGCAACCCCCTCCAGTATTCTTGCCTGGAGAATCCCATGAACAGAGGAGCCTGGTGGTCTGCAGTCCTTGGGGTCGCAAGAGAGAGTCAGACACAACTTAGCAACTAAACCACCACCATATAATTTTTACATGATTATATTTGCATATTTTTCACAGTAATATGGATAGGGTTCCCAGAATAATTCACCTCCCTCCCTGAGTTCAAAAGTAATTTTATACTTTATTTCCTTTTATTTCATCAGCACCAAAATAGAAATGAGTCAGAGCTTCCGGACAAATGGCCTCCTGTGCCTGTCCCAAGTTGTAAATAGATCTCTACACTTAAACCAGAACCTATGGGACAAAGCAGTTGCCTCGGTGACCCTAAATCTAACCCCTAATTCACCAAGCCTAATTTATTTCCAGCCCAGTTCCTGAAAAAAAGACCTAAATCGCCTAACCTTGAAGTATTAGGCAAAGCTAAGCCCTGTAAGGAACTCTTTTTCAGGAATGCTTTATTATTATTTTCTTTGGAGTATAGTTGATTTACAATGCTGTGAAAGTTTCAAGTCTACAGCAAAGTGACTTTTTATCTGAGAGTTTGGGGGTTCCGTAAAACAGACCTGTGGACTCTTGTAAAGAAGACTTCGGTCTTGAAAGGAGAGCTGGCACTAGGTTGGATTGTGGAGGAGGGTCTTCACCTCTGTGAATCTCCCCCTGCCTCGTTGTCCACCCAGTGTGTTTCCAGCCTGGTCATGAAAAGGGGTGGGGAAATTAAGGTCCTCTGGCAGGATCATTTGTCTCGAGAGTGTTGTCCAGCCATTGCCATGGCTTAGCCCAAAGGGAAACAATGTGGCTTAAATATTGTTAACTCTCTTCATTTGTGAGACATGAGCCCCTTATTCTCACCAAACCTCCATCTTTTGTATTTTAAAAAATAAGTATAATAAGTAATCCAAGGATCTACTTAAAATCGAAGTTGTAGAAACTAGCATCATTAAATTCATTACCCTTATTTTAGTGATGATGACTGTCTTGTTCTTTCCATCTCCTTTACCCTGTCACTCTTTCTTGCATGCTGGAGGTTCCATTGTACTGTTTAATCATAACTACCTTGCTATTGTGTATTTTGGTTGGGGGACCTGGGCTTCAGTCACGGCTAATATTCTCACTGGTATTTCTCAGAATTCTTCCAACCTTTTGGGAAACTGTGGGTACTGTGGACAGTTACTACACAGAGTACCTTTACCAGCATCCAGAGCCCAGGGTAAACTGAAGAACTGTGAATGTGATGATTTGATGTAGATGACTAGGTACCATCCAGGATTATCTAGACATTTTTTAATTGCAGTCATCTGTTTATTTCTGGTCCTTTCCACATTGACCTGTATAGTTTATCGATGCTGCATCTGATTCCTGTGGGCTTCAGGAACCAAAGTGTAAACAACTTCCCAAAGCTCTTTTGCCTTCAGAAATCTGGCCAGCTCCTGCCTGTCTTATTTTTTAATTTTTTTTTGTCCATAAACAACCAGATATAAAATTTGGGGGGACCTAAAAATATATATGTGTGTGAGTGTGTGTGTGTATAGTTTTCAACTTACTGTCAGTACCACATTATTCTTTAGAATTACAGGCAAAGTATTTGCCACTTCCTGCCTTTTCTGCCTGACTCATCACTGACAGTGACGAGGAGAGGTCAATAAATACCTTAAATGTTCCAACTTCTGGTTTTAAAAATTGAGAAAGGATATAGCTCAGTGTCGTGAAAGAGGATGGAAGGATTGAGCCAAGAATCCAGCCTCATTGTTCCAATCCTGTAACAGTACACCCTCTGATAATCCTGTTACGGAACTAAGGAAAGACACTTCGCATTGTACCAGACTTTAGAAATACTGGGTTGGCCAAAATGTCTATAACATCTTTTGGAAAAAATCCAAATGGGCTTTTCGCCCAACCCAGTACTTGGGGTGTTAATGGTCTCAATGCTTGTCTAGTCCCCCATCCATCTCTGCCCCTTCCCCATTTCCCCCCACCCTGGTCGCCCCCAGCTGTGACAGCCGTAGGTCACTGTCACTGCCCCCTTTCTGCAGACACAAAGGACGTGAACGAATTCGAGGCCGACGGCTTCTTCGCTCTGCATCACCGCCGAGGCGCCATCAAGCAGGCCAAAGTCCACCACGTCAAGTGCCATGAGTTCACGGCCACCTTCTTCCCACAGCCCACGTTTTGCTCCGTCTGCCATGAATTTGTCTGGTATGGTAACTCGCCTGTGATGCCAACCTTCAGGTTATGCCTTGGGTCACGTCTCTTTTTTAAATTTGTTTATTTATTTGGCTGTGTTGGGTCTTAGTTACGGCCCACAGGCTTCAGAGTGCAGGCTTAGTTGTTCTGAGGCCTGTGGGATCTTAGACCCCTGAGCAAGGACTGAACCCCCATCCCCTGCATTGCATGGCAGATTCTTAAACACTGGACCACCGGAGAAGTCCCATGATGCATCTTCTTAACCCACCAGGCCTGGCATGTTCCACCTTGGGGGATTGTATGGGAATAGGTCCTACCTGAGAGTTTCCAGTGGCCTCACCTGGATTGAGGAGGCTCAAACAGTGTGATTCTAGAGAATATTTTCATAAATAAGCTCCTATAGCACCAGGAATCCAACTCCCTTAGGAAAGATTTCAAGGAAACTTTGGTTTCCAATTAAATGGGAAGCTTCGGGGGGTGAGTGGGGAGGGACAGAAGAGGGAGAGATCTTTATTGTAAGCACAATTTTATAGTCAAAACTGCCACCAGCTCAACAACCCAACTGTGCTGCTAACTAAATGTCTGCAGAAGGCAACACTTGCCCATTGGAGCTGATGGGTTTCTATGTTTACAAGGCTCTTGGGTGTCTTAACAGCCCTCGAACAGAGATTGGTTCAAGCCTCAGTAACCACAACAGCGAAGGCTACGGTAGACTGGAGACTCAAAATGACTCCTATCTTTTTTTTCAGCTTCCCCCACTGTTTTGGGGTCTTCTCCTTTGGGTTCTTGCAGGATCTGTTAATGCACAACCTCTGGCTTAACCAGGGTATCCAAAGGTCAGATAGACTTTTGGTGGGTTTCCATCAACTGTCTTCATCTAATGACTTGCCTTCCTTTCTAATAGTGAATATTAACAGAATCAGTCTTAAGGTTGAGAATTTATTAGCTGCAAATGTTCACAGATACTCAGAAAGAGGAAATAAAGTATTATATGGATATCTTTGCTTATCTGTACTGAACTTAGCAAGACAGTGAAAAATTTTAAGTGTAGACATGGATATTTGCTACTTAGGAGCCTGTGATCCATTTTTGGTTGGGCATTTTTTGGTCTGCATGTTTGTTTGGAAAATATGCAAATGAAAGGGAAATGAACAACTCCTCATTTATTGAATGTTCAGACTTTTCACAAAGCAGGTCAAAATAAGAGCACACATTAACACTCTTGCCTAATAGCAGACCAGGGCTGCTGCTCAGAAAATGCTCTGTGAGAGTAGGAAGCTATGAGAGCTTGTTCATCTTTTAAATGTTTTTGTTTTTGGTACTACAGTTGATGCTAAAATCCATGTACATATTCAAACATGTGCTTTATTGCAGGGGTCTGAACAAACAAGGCTACCAGTGTCAACGTAAGTAAGAAGGATTTCTGTTGTACTAGCATCAGTCCTTTTGTTTAGTTGTCCCTTAACTTCTGAAAATCTCAAGCTGTAGTTATTTCTTTTCAGAATGTAATGCAGCAATTCACAAGAAGTGTATCGATAAAGTAATAGCAAAGTGCACAGGATCAGCTATCAACAGCCGAGAAACCATGGTACGGACCTAGATTCGCCTATCTGAAATATGGTGGTTTCATCCTGACATTACCTTTAACAAAAGCCCACTGATTCTGTTTTAAAGGACTTTTTAAAACATTCTTTTCTTTTTGGTTGCACTGGGTCTTTGTTGCTGCGTGTGGGCTTTCTCTCATTTCTGAGAGCAGGGGCTACTCTCTAGCTGCGGTGCTCGGGGCTTCTCATTGCAGTGGGTTTTCTTATTGCAGAGCATGGTCTCTAGGCTTGCAGGCTTCAGTAGCTGGGGTGCATGGGCTTTGTTGCTCCGCAGCGTGTGGAATCTTCCCAGACCAGGAATCAAACCCATGTTCCCTGCACTGGCAGATGGATTTTTATCCACTGTACCACCAGGGAAGTCCAACAACTCCCTAATTCTTGTTCATAATGCACAGTTCTTACATTTTCCCATGCACGTCGATATCACTAAAACGCTTTCCTCTTCAGTGATGATTGTTACTGAGACCCAAAACCAGTGTTTCGCCATCTCTGTGTTTAATCGCCCCGTAGGTCAAATCAGAATCCTAACAGAGGCTGCTTCAGATGAGATATTTTAAGGATTGTATGAGATCTCACATGTGTAAAAGGCAACACAGGTGACATATTTGTTACAGCACCTGGCAGGACTGTTCTCTATGCTTGTCTCTTCTGTTCACATACAACAAGTGTGAAAAGTCTTCACGCTCCTCACGCTAATAAACCAATGCCTCTAGAGGAAGCATTATATAATATCTTCCAAAGGTGAAGGCACTAGATCTAGGTTGAAAGAGAAAAGGAAATATTTATATTAAATTAGGAAGGGAAGTCCGTCGATATAACTCCCATTTAAACAAATAACTCTGGTCTCCTTCCTGAAATATTAGCCCATCTGCCCAAAGGCAGCTGACTTCAGCTATCTCCAGGTTACCCGATATGAGTATCTCGTGCCCTTGACCCAGAACAGCTAATGGCTTCCTGTCTTCATTGGACATGACTATAAGGCTTGACAAGTAAAAATCATGACATCCAAACCACATCACTGCAATGTTTTTATTATTCTGTTCATTCTGCAAAAGTCTCTGCTAAAGAAATGAAAAGTGGGGAACCCAGGGACACACGAACCATCACACTCTCTTGTTCCCTTTCAGTTCCACAAGGAGAGGTTCAAAATCGACATGCCGCACAGATTTAAGGTCTACAATTACAAGAGCCCAACCTTCTGTGAGCACTGTGGGACCCTGCTATGGGGCCTGGCCAGGCAAGGGCTCAAGTGTGATGGTGAGTCCCACGCGAAAGGTGCTTGGGGTCCCCACTGACAGAACCTCCAGGGCGTGGATTTGCAGCTTTGATGAGAGGACGAGGGAGGGAGGGGAGGTGGAGATGACTCGCTTGTTCAGCCAGCCCGGAAGAGCCCCGTGGTCCTGAATGAGAAGTTTCTGGATAGCAAGTCACTGCTGTTCTTTCCCTTCCACCTGCCACCACCCTGTGTCTTAAATCCCAGAGAAGTGCCCGGTCATTCAGGTCCCGTGTCCAGGCCGCTCGCCTGATGCCTTCTGAGGCACCCAGTCCTGGGGAGCAAGGAGGCGGCACGGTCCCCTGACTGGTCCTCTGCCCTGGCCTGTCCCTTCCTGACTCTGGCAGCTCTGGCCATGCCCCTGCCCCTGTCCCTGGAACCAGCAAGGACCATTCTGTCTGTGGCCCCATCGAGGAATGAGCCTGGCACATCTGCTGGGCTGCTGAAAAGTGCTGTACGGAAATATTCCCTGGCTCACTGAAGCTGGCACGCCTGTCCCCAAAGCGTGCTGTGAACTCCAGCTGCAGTTTAAGTGTTGGAAGTGTCAGTCACTGAGTCAGGTCCAGTTCTTTGCGACCCCATGGACGATAGCCCACCAGGCTCCTCTGTCATGGAATTCTCCAAAGCAAGAAGAGTGGAGTGGGTAGCCATTCCCTTCTGCAGAGGATCTTCCTGACCCAGGGGTTGAACCCAGGTCTCCTGCGTTGCAGGCAGATTGTTTACCATCTGAGCCACCCGGGAAGCCTGCACATGGAGTGGCCTGGCTCTGAGAGGATGGCTCCTGCAGGTGACCTGACCACAGAGCCCGAGCTCACACCCCTTTAACCGTCCAGTTATTCAGCCTGAGCCAGAGAAAAAGCCAGACAGCTTTCTTGCTCTAAAAGCCCAGGTTGCTAAGGCAATAACCTTTAGAAACTGAGATGCCATTTCACCAGGATTAGGGGGTAGGGAGGAAAAATTCCAACAAAGACTATCAGAGGCCTTCTGCCTTTGGAGTGGTGGCTGAGAGGGGACAGAGCCTAAGTAACGTGTTCAAAACAAAGTGCTGCACTCAGCAGGGAGCATTTTATTCTCAATTTAAAAAAATTTTTATTGGAGTATAGTTGACCTACAGTGTTTTGTTCATTATTGTTATACAGCAAAATGATTCAATTATGTACATATATATATGTATGCACATTATATAATGTGCATACATTTATATGCATTTTTTAACACACTCTTTTCCATTATGGTTTATCCTATGATATTGGTTAAACATGCATGTTTGCTAAGTCACTTTAGTCATATCAGACTCTGCAACCCCATGGACGGGCGCGTGCCAGGCTCCTCTGTCCGTGGGAATCTCTAGGCAAGAATACTACAGTGGGTTCTTCTGCCCTCCTCCAGGAGATCTTCCTGACCCAGGGATAGAACCCATGTCTCTCAAATCTCCTGCATTGGCAGGCAGGTTCTTTACCACTAGCGCCACTTGGGAAGCCCACTGATTAAACATAAAGCCACTTTATTTTTTGTGGGTGACCCCATTTTAACTTATGCCACTGGCTAGTGTGTGTTGGATCTTTAAGTGATAAAGGGGGCTGACCTAAGCAGGAAGATCACCCTTAGCTGCCTCCTTATCCACATCCCAAGTGTATCTGTGGGTCTGGTGGAGCCTGGAGTGACATCTTAAGGAAGGCAGGAGATGTTAGGTTTTTCAACTCATTGCTGAAGGCAAACCCACAGGTAGTCAAAATTCATCTGAACCAGAGAAACCTCTGCTGCCCAGGGGACCACCACACACTTTCCTGTCTACCCCTGCTCAGCGGTCCATGGGTGGGTGGCTGGCGTTGTGTAGAGCGTCTTTAGGAGTTCATAGGCAACAGGTAACTTGGAGGATTTCTGAGTGGACAAACAGGACAGGAATAATCAAATCCACACTTGATGGCATCTCCATTCTGATGGTCTTGGACATCGGGATTTTCTTCCCTGGAGCCCATCAGCCCACCTGCAGAGGCCACGCTCATCCCAGCAGTGGCTTCTGCCTCTGAGCTCAGAACTTCCACTAGGATTCCGTGGCATTATTCCATGGCTCCCACGCCCTGCTCTGTTCCCTCTTTCCCAACATTCTTTCTTCTCTGTTCCATTCACTTCTTTCATTTCTCATCCTCTGGCCTTCCTTACTTTCCCTCCCTCCCTTCTCCCCTCCTCCCCCCCCAACTTCCTTCCCCCTGAGTCATTCTCTGTTCTTGCTGGAACCCCGTGAGGCGGGGTACTGTCTCTCCCTCCTCACGCCCTTGCCTGCGTCTCCACCTCCCACTCTCTCCCCTGGGTCTCCCTCCGTCTCTGCCTCACTCTGTCTTCTTGCTCTCCTGTAAGCCTCCTGCCTAAGTACGGTCCCCTCTTATCCTGATCCTGTCTGCTTCCTCTGGCTGCTGAAATTAGTCATCAGAGGAACTGTTTGCACTCACAGAGGTTCAGTTATCACCTACTAGGTTAGTAACAGGCTTCTGACATTTTGATCCTGGTGGGCAGGGAGCCTTTCTTCACGGCACATCAGAGAGGAGCTTAGATCTGGTACAATTTTAAACAGTAAGATGCTCAGTCCCTGCTAACTGCCTCCCTCTGCCTTGCAGTCATGGGTAGGAAATGGGAGCTGGGGTCACCCAACATAAAACCTGCCTCTGGGAGCCCAGGAAGAGTCAAGTAAATCAGGCAGGGTTCAGAGGACAGAGGCCATTATAAGTAGCATCTTTACTATATTAAAGATTTCAGTTCAGATGGGGTTTTTACAACTATGTATGGTTTATACTTACTTACATAGAAGATGCTATTTTGTTTTATTGTGAACGGTCTGTTTACCTAGTGAAAACTAAAGGTAAAGACAGCTAAAGTATCAGTAAATATTTCAATAACATTTTTAAAGATGGAAGAAAAGTTGTATTTGGTGAGCACCTTTTGGAAGCCAGTCACTGTGCTAAGTTTGTGCACACAAATGGGCGGCAGCCTTCCTTGCCATCAGCAAGGCTCTGGCTCTGCCTCAAGCAGGAGTTATGTCCCAGCATCATGCCAAAAGGCATCTGCTGTGTGCATGAATAGCTCAGTGAAGCAGAGATATGATATATGATGCATGATATATGATATCTTATATGATATAAGATATATGATGCTTGGTGGCATCATAAAAGCACCACCCTAATATCTGTCTTCAGTGTCTCCCTCTGCAGGGAAGATGGTGCTGGGGATTTGCCAATTGTCTATTGGACATACCTGCACCCAAAACAGATTATGTTCAGGGTGTCTGGAAGTTGATTCTGTCGCCCTTGCTCATGGCATTGCTTCTTCTTTCAGCATGTGGCATGAATGTGCATCACAGATGCCAGACAAAGGTGGCCAACCTTTGTGGTATAAACCAGAAGCTGATGGCTGAAGCCCTGGCGATGATTGAGAGCACTCAGCAGGTAGGAATGGCTTTTTGGGGACGAGTCCCCACAGTTTCAACTCAACACGGACTGTTTCAGTCCCTTCACTCTTGGATTTGTAGCAACTGTATGGGGCAACATGGAATCTGTTTCCAGGCACTTGCCTTGACCCTGGCTTTCATCTTCACATCCACATCCCCACTTTGAGATGTTTATTTAATGCATTTCGCTTGTGTGGATCTTTGTAAGAGCTTAAATTCTTCATGGAATGAGCAGGGGCACAAACAAATGCATTCATTAAAAGTATTAAGGATTCATTGCTAGCTTTATACCTGTATAAGATGACTGTGTATTAGCTGGTGGGGTAACATTTGCTGGAATCATCTCCAAAATGCCCCCAAAACACTGAATCTGAGGCAGCTTTGCCTTTCTGCTCAGTAGCATGCTGAATCCTCACATCCGTGAACAAACCCTCTTTGAGACTTGGCTTTGGGACTTCCCTGGTGGTCCGGTGGTGAAGACTTCACCTTCCAATGCAGGAAGTGTGAGTTTGATGCCTGGTCAGGGAGCTAGGATCCCACATGCCTCGCACCAAAAAACCAAAACATAAAACAGAAGCAGTATTGTAACAACTTTAAGAAAGACTTTAAAAATGGTCCACTCTGAAAAAAAAAAAAAAAGTCTGAAAGACTTGGCTTTGCCTACTTGAGCTATTTTTTCCATCCATTGGTCTTTGATTCCTATTTGTGACTGAGCGCTGTGAGGAGTGTGGGAAAAACCAGTGAGCCCCCAGAAAATATGAAGGAAATGAGCACGCTCTGCTGGTGCATAAAACATACTAGATGCTCACAGGGTATGGGGTCCTAGGAGAGTGCCGAGGAGGAGGAGCGGTCCACTTACCCTCCGTGTTCAGGGATCTGAAATGGCTTCGCGCCCATGGACAGCAACCTGCATGGTCCCGTCCGTGGTCGGTGGGTAGGCGGGTGGTCTGACTCTTTGTCTGTCACCCAGGCTCGCTGCTTAAGAGATTCTGAGCACATCTTCAGAGAAGGTCCAGTTGAAATTGGTCTCCCATGCTCCATAAAAGGTGAAGCAAAGCCGCCATACGTACCAGGACCGGGAAAAAAAGGTAGCTATCCCTATTCACAGTGGAATTGTCGTCAGTAACTCATCTTGATTAACCTTAACCTGAGTCCAGGACTTCCCTGGTGGCTCAGAAGGTAAAGAATCTGCCTGCAATGCAGAAGACCCGGATTTGATCCCTGGGCCGGGAAGGTTCCCATGGAGAAGCACATGGCTACCCACTCCAAGTATTCTTGCCTGGAGACTCCCATGGACAGAGGAGCCTGGTGAGCTACAGTCCATAGGGTCACAAAGAGTTGGACACAACTGAGCAACTAACACTTTCACTAAGACTTTCTGGGTTAAAGTCTCCCTTTGCCTGGCCTGATAAATGATTCTTTTCTAGTTAGAAATTACCAACCTAGCCACCCACAAAGAGGCTTCTACTTCTAGAAGTAAAACCAAAATACAGCCCACTAGAAAAGCTTTGTAAGTGGATAGGGGTTGTGGGAAGTTGGGGTGGGGGGGTAGAAGATGGGGTATCTCTGGAAGAAATAATGGCAAACTTTTCCTTAGAATTTTAGAATGTTATTCCCTGCCATGGTCCGACTGTTTTACAAAATAAATCCTCCATAGAGCTCTATGGTAGAAATACCATAGATCATCTTATTCTGTACTTTGAGACTTTACTGGGAAGTTTAAGATTAGAATGGGGAAGAATAGCCAACATCCTTAACATTTATGACATTATGAAGTTCATCCAGCCTCCTGTTGGAAGGGGCTTTTTGAGAGGATGTGACTGTGTGATTCTTTTTCAATTTTTGTTTTTTTAACACCAAAACCATTTTGTATTGAGGTATAGCCAATTAGTTAATGTTGCGGTAGTTTGAGGTGAACAGCAGAGGGACTCAGCTATACGTATACATGTGATTCTGAATAGTTTCAACATATATTATAAAATACTTAATTTACCTTGGACTTAGAATATGAAAGACAAACCTAGAGTGCTAAAGACAAACCTGGAGTGGTAAAGAATCTTCCTGCCAATGCAGGAGATGCAAGAGATGCAGCTTCAATCCCTGCATGGGAAAGATCCCCTGGAGTAGGAAATGGTAACCCACTCCAGTATTCCTGCTTGGAAAATTCCATGGACAGAGAAACCTGGCAGGCTACAATCCATGGAGTCTCAGAGAGTTGGACACGACTGAGCACACACACAATTCCAACCACAAAAATGATAGGACAATTATGTGCTATGAGGTGCCATCAAGTGCTACCACAGTAGATAAATGTGTCAATCAACATGTTATACATGTTCACTTAGCACAATGTGATATGTCAAGTATATTTCAAGAAAAGAAATGTTATAAGAGGGTGGGAGGGAGGTTCCAGAAAAGTTGTTCTACACCTTCTCTGGCATGGGGTGAGGAATAAATTGTCTGTAAATTTTTTTAAAGAAGTGTTTGGATTAGATTTGGGAAAGGTCTCTGGGTAGACCATGTCTCAGAGACAATCAAAATAGGCAGCATCTTGACCTGAAGACTGTGGCGAATGATTCCATTCGGGTCTTTAATGAAATGCTCTCCGGCTCTTCTTCCCTACATGGTAGGTCACAGAAATTGATGCCATTATGCCTGCAAGCCATGCAAGCAATGGGGAGTCATTTTCCCTCCAGTTCGTCTAAAATCCCTATATGCCTGTGATTCAGCATCATCCAAAGTGCTTATTCCTGCTGCAGAGATGGTCTTTTGCTGATTGGAATGTTTCTTAACCTGACATTTTCCCCAGTCTGTCCCATAAAGAGACACAGTCCACCCCCCAGATGCCAGGCTTCCAGGCAGGAAGTGCTCCTTTTGCCCTGCAGGAACCCCTTTCTGAACTGTTGCAGATGAAGCTTCAGAACAGGATATGAAAAAGAAAGCAGGTTCTCAGAATAGCTAGGATGACCCTCTGCTGTTCCTTATTTCCTTTTAACCGCTGGCTTATCATTTTCAGAGCCTCAGGGGATCTCCTGGGATTCTCCCTTGGAAGAGATGGAGAAAGTATGCCATCGCCCAGAACCTGAGCCGAACAAAGAAAGAACTTCTCTACGTATGAAACTAAAAATCGAGGATTTCACCTTGCACAAAATGTTGGGGAAAGGAAGTTTTGGCAAGGTACGATACTGTATGTAGGATTCTATGGGCCAGATGAGAGAAGCTGAGAAGCAAAGCTCTGGCCAGCGAAACTGAGCTGGTGGGATGAAAACCAGGCATTGGGTGTGCAGAGAGAGGCTTGCTGGGCGGGAACTGTGATGTGATGTGATGGATGTTAGGGGGCGGAGAGATGTCTGAATAAAAAGGGACCCAGGGGCTTCCCTGGGGGCTCAGATGGTAAAGAATCTGTCTGCAGAGCAAGAGACCTGGGTTCGATCCCTGGGTCGGGAAGATCCCCTGAAGGAGGCCATGGCTACGCACTGCAGTGTTCTTGCCTGGAGAATCCCCATGGACAGAGGAGCCTGGCGGGCTGCAGTCCATGGGGTCTCACAGAGTCGGACACGACTGAGCGGCTAAGCGCAGGGAGCTCTTGGGAGCAGCAGCCTCTGCTCCCTGGGGAAAGACAGTTCCAGCCGTCTCACTTTGAAGGTGTTCACCCCACCAGCTTCTTGAGTGTGGTATCTTCGGACACCAATGAAGCGGGAAGGTGCCCCGGCCAGTTCCTGTCTCATAGATATTTTTGTTTCATTGGTGGTTTTGTTGTTGTTTTGCTCCTTTCTTAAACCCAGAGTGTGGTTTTACTTTCCTTATGATTTTTTTCTCAGTCTTGTCTTAGCTTAGGGCTACTGTAATAAAACACCACAGAGACGGGCAGCTTCCACAGCAGAAACATATCTCTCCCAGTTCTGGAGCCTGGACATCAAGGTTCAAGAGGCCTCCCTCTCTCCCAGGTGTATACGCTGTCTTCTCCCTGTGTCCTCACATGGCCATTCCTCTGTGTCCCAATTCCCTCTTCTTATGAGGATGCCAGTTCTATGGCATCAGGGCCCACCCCATGACCTCATTTTAACATAATTATCTCTGTAAAGAACCTGTCTCCAAATAAGGTCACACTCTCAGGTGCTGGGAGTCTAGGACTTCAGTATATGAATTATTAAGGCTCCCCTGGTGGCTCAGATGTTAAAGAATCTGCCTGCAATGCGAGAGACCTGGGTTTGATCACTGGGTCAGGAAGATTCTAGAGGACCCTGTCCATGGAATTGTTTGGAAGGGACACAGTGCAGCCCAGAGCTACAGCAATAACTTGAGTGTCTTAGGAAAAGTTTCACGGAGGAAGTCCCTCCTCTCAATTATTCCTGCCACTCACTTAACGGATGGACTCTGTCATGGAGGGCGAGAAGACGGAAGAGGAAAACATAATCTAAGAAATTATAATCAACTCTCAGTGACGAGAAGATTTTCTTTTTTTTTTTTTTTTTAGTTTTATTTTATTTTTCTTTCCATTTATTTTTATTAGTTGGAGGCTAATTACTTTACATCATTGCAGTGGTTTTTGTCATACATTGAAATGAATTAGCCATGGATTTACATGTATTCCCCATCCCGGTCCCCCCTCCCACCTCCCTCTCCACCCGATCCCTCTGGGTCTTCCCAGTGCACCAGGCCCGAGCACTTGTCTCATGCACCCAACCTGGGCTGGTGATCTGTTTCAGTGGTTGTAAAGAGGGATGTCATAGACTACCGGCTTTTAGGTTATCTTGGATATTAAGGATATCTCATGTATTAATGAAATTCTCAGTTGTTTTTTTAATTTATATTGGATGTGACTTCTGGGAGAATTTTAGCCAGAGACTACTGTTCCATGAATTTGTGCAACCAAGGCCAGTATTATGCTCAGCACCTGCTCACCAGACTTGGGCTGTAAAACTTACCCAGTTTAATAATAAACAAGCTGAAATGCAACTAGGTCTTGCCATAGCTGAATGACTTTGTGCTGCTAGTCAGGGTTGGGTTTAATACCAAGGAATCACCTTTGGCAAAACCCACTCAGCCCTGCCAACTGTAGCCAATAGCTATTAATTCATTTCCACAGTAGCACGAACCATCGCTAGCTCACTTGGTGTTATCCTGAGTGCAATAGGCAGTTTTACAGCCAGTCTTCATTAAAATGTAGCATCAATTAATGTGCAATGATAGCCTGTAACCAAAAATTGAAAGGACATTATAGAGATGGAGATTGCCTTTTCGACTTCTTAGTTTAAGGCTGGTTTGGGAAATGTTTTATTGAAAGAAGCAATTACCAAAAGAGAAGTTCTAATTGTTATAGAAATGTTTTTCTTTGTTCTCTGGGTAGATTTCTACTTTCAACAAAGTTAACATAGCTTTAAGTTAAACCTACTTGCCTTAGTAAATAACCCAATGGACAGCTGAGAGCTTCAGTAGCCTAGGCTCTGGGACCAGACCACTAAGCTCCTCCCCATCAGAATCCCAGATCCCTGCATCCTGAGGGGACTGCACTGTGGGGGCCCAGTGAGGTGGGGGGATCCCCAAAGCAGAATATATTTCCTCTTCTTGAACTCCAAAACTTGTTCGTTTTTCTTTTTTTTTCACTCTCTATAGATATGGTTCCTCACCAAAATGGTAGCCTCTCTATTTTGATTCTCCATCAATTTTAGGCCCAGAAGAATAAATGGCATGTTTTCTGGGGTTATGCACATTATTTCCCTGATGGCTCAGACGGTAAAGAATCTGTCAGCCATGCAGAAGACATGGATTCGATCCCTGGGTCAGGAAGATCACCTGGAGAAGGGAATGGCTACCGAGTCTGGTATTCTCACCTGGAGAATTCCATGGACAGAGGAGTCTGGCGGGCAGTCCATGGGGTCACTCAGAGTTGGACACAACTGAGTGACTCACACTTTCGCCTTCATGCCTGAATTCTCGCCTAAGCTCTATCCTCTCTATCAATCCAGCTACCCCCTAAGCTATGTGTCTGCACTGTGTTATTTTAAACATAGACACATGCATTTTCATGTGTCATGAAGTGTGTGTCATCAAGAACTTCAGCATTCCTTAAAAGTCACTTAAAAGAAACAAATGATGAGTGGGTTTTTTGAAGTATAGTTGATTTATGATATTATATTAGCTTCAGATGTGTAACATAGTGATTCAGTAGTTTTATAGATTCTGCTCTAAAGTTCTTACAAAATAATGGCTCTGTTTCGCTGTGAGATTCAATATATCCCCGTTGCTCCTTTATTTTACACAGAGTAGTTCGTACCTCTCAATCCCATGCCCTTGTCTTGGCCCTCCCCCCAACTGGTAACCACTGGTTTGTTCTCTATATCCGTGAGTCTGTTTCTGTTTCGTTCCACACATTCGTTTTGGTTTCAGGTTCCAATAACTGTCACTCAGAAAGCATTTTAGAGTGCATAGGCCGCTTCCCCAGCTGCTGTTTGCTTTTCACAGCAGTCCTGTAAGTCAGCAGTGTGGTGATAGTTATGGCTTTCCCACATTAGGGAACCGAAGCCCAGGGAGGTTCATGTGTGTGCCCACATTCCCACAGCTGGTAGATGTCTGCACAGTGAGGCCGGAGCTGCGGCCTTCTGTCTCCACGTGCCGTGTCCTCACTCCTCTCAGCTGTCTGGCTGCATCATCTGCAAGAGCCCAAGTTGGAGGAAGCCTCCTTCTGTGCCATGTGGGGTCCCGTCTTACAAGATGCCTGAACGTGAGCGGGAAAAGTCAGTTCTGGACTCAGATTTCCCACTGAGTAGCTCCATGAGTTTGACAAAGTTACCCTTTGACCCTAGGCTCCCTTTACTATTACTACCTGTATTGCAGACTGTTCTGAACCAAGAATTAAATAAGTACTAAAGTTAGATAGCATGCGTAAAGCCTGTAGCACAATGTCTGACACATAGTAGGTCTTGAGAATAATGTTAGTGTCTGCGCCGTCAGAGGAAATGCTGCGCATTCTTTAAGTACATCAGGACAGTTCTATTTCTCACATATGCTTTTTGGCCTTGAAAAAGTGGGTAAAGCGTGGAGTAAGGTTTTATGCTTATTTTCATTGATTATTTCAAAAGCAGTCAAGTCTTCCTCTTCATGGCTCACTGCTGCTTCCTCAATATACATTTTTCTCTGATTTTTTTTTTTTATAAACTTAGGTCTCTGGGCAGACAGGACACTTTTAAAAAAATTTTATTGGAGTGTAGCTGATTTACAGCGTTGTGTATCCGCTATACAGTAAAGTGAATCAGTTATACATCTACACGTATCCCTTCTTCTCTGGATTTCCCTCCCATTTTGGTCCGAGCATTGGGTGGCGTTCCCTCAGCTATACAGTGGGTTCTCATTCATTATCTGTTTTATCCATTGTAGTGAGAGTGTATCAGTCCCAACCTCCTAATCCATCCCCCTTGATGTCCATGCATTTGTTCTCTACCTGTGTCTCTGTTTCTGCTTTGCAAATAGGTTCATCTGTACGATTTTTCTAGATTCCACTTTTTTAAATAGGATCTTTCCAGGGGCTGAGAATAACCCATCTGATTTTGTGAAATGCTTTGAAAGATAGAGTGGATGAAGCTGTTAATAGCATCCCACGCCAGTAAAACTCAATTTGTCTCCATAAAGGGGATAGAGGAGGATTGGAGAATTAATTCTGTTTCCTCCCCCAATACATCTCTCAGCATGTCATGACTCTTTTTTATCGAGTGTCAATCCAAATTCTAAAATAGCGCTATTTCTTCTCCTTCCTTCCAGGTCTTCCTAGCAGAGTTCAAGAAAACCAATCAATTTTTCGCAATAAAAGCCTTAAAGAAAGATGTGGTTTTGATGGATGATGACGTGGAGTGCACAATGGTAGAGAAGAGGGTCCTCTCCTTGGCCTGGGAGCATCCGTTCTTAACGCATATGTTCTGCACATTCCAGACCAAGGTAAGGCTTCTGCCCAGATAGTCCTTCATCTCTCCATCCTCAGCCAGTAAGTCTGGGAGCTCCTGCAGAGCAGGAGACGTGGGGCGCTCACTCCATGTATTTCTTCTTTGAGTCCAGCTTCCATCCATCTAAGCAAGTCTTTCACAGTTGTTTAGAGGGGAAGAAACTTGTTTGGAAAGAAACAAGTTTTCTTACTTGGAAAAATGCAAGAAACTTGCACTTTCTAATGCAGTTGACTGGGGAAAGGGCCTTACTTCTGGTTTTACTTGCTTGCTTTTTAGAATTCAGTTTAACTTATATAACAAGAATTCTAAGCAGTGTGTGACTTGCTTAACAAAGTAGTGCTTTGTGAAAGGGAAAAGGTGTGACATCTGTTCTACCATACATATATTTCAGGAGACAAAATTTGGAAAAATGGATCAAAATGTGTGTGTACTGTTATTTCCCTTTATAAGGCCAGTAGAAGATCATCCTTTAGAGCACACTTTATCAGGAACTGTGCAGTCAGGTAAAACTGTGAATTTTATCAAAAGTGCCTCTTACTTTGGGAGAATGTTCCTCCTGATCTGCTTTTTCTTTAAAATTAAAAAAAAAAACAACTTTTTTTCTAACTTAAAAGTTATTCAGGATCATTTTAGAAAATTTGCTTATATGCTCAAAGAAGATCATATATATCCCATTACTTGGGTATACTCACCAATACTATGTTGAAGTTTATCCTTCTAGATTTCCCCCCCATTGGGTTTATAACATTAAAAATACCCAGTTAGTGTAACTAACTCCTACTCTGTAACTAGGACTTTTAACACTCTGTACATTTCCTGACATCTGTAGGTATCCTCTGCAATGTGATTTATCTCATCCGGCTATTTCTAAATTCTGTTCTGATTGAAATAACACTGAAATGAACATCCCTGCAGATCAGTCATCCGTATAAACACTGTGGTTTTCTATTTTTCTACTATACTTGACCCTGTCCCCATGTGTATAGCCTAGAATTGTGTTGCATGTAGCCAAGAATAATAAGCAGACCCGTGGGGAGCTGTGTGGTTAAGATCCAAAGAAAATGAGGAAGTTTTTCTCTTGTTCTATTTCAAGCCTTGATGATAATGTACTACCTTAGTGTAAGTAGCATCTTCTGCCTCTAGCCACAGAAGTGTTAGTGGGGAAACTGGGAATCAGCCAGTAAATGTGGATGGTCACTTAGGGATTTCATCACCACTTCTCCAGCTGCCAGTAGACTCTCAAGTGTTTAATTAGGGAATAGATGAATAAATGTACTTAGCTAAAATGGAAACCCAGACCATGAGAAAACACTCAGTGATCACATACTGTACTTGAAGCATTGTGAAGGATATAGAAATAATACAGTCCCTGACCTAGAGAATTGCATACTCTGCGGAGCTGAAATAACTCAGTTGGGAGAGAGTTAGACTGAAGATCTAAAGGTCCCTGGTTCAATCCCGGGTTTCGGCAGGCAAGCAACTTCTTTTGTGGCTTCCCTGGTGGCTCAGATGGTAAAGCGTCTGCCTGCAATGCGGGAGACCCAGGTTCAGTCCCTGGGTTGGGAAGATCCCCTGGAGAAGGAAATGGCAACCCACTCCAGTACCCTTGCCTGGAAAATTCCATGGACAGAGGAGCCTGGTAGGCTATAGTCCACGGGGTTGCAAAGAGTCGGACATGACTGAGCAACTTCACTTTCACTTTCAAAGAGATGACAATGATACTTCTAATGGTGGTAAGTAATATTAATTGCCGAATGCTGACTTTTAAGTACCAGAGCTGAGAAAAACTAGAAATTAGAATTTGAATAGGCAGTAAAGGTCTTGGGCAACAGAAGTGTATAGGCTATAAGAAGGCATGAAGGAAGAAAGGGATTGTGATAAGCTGTTTAAGTAGGCTTATGTTTTACAGCAGGAAGGACTTTGAGATTCCTGGTAATGAGGGTTACAGAGGTTTCCTGCTAGACGGTTCCTCCTGGAGATCAGAAATATCTGTTGGTCTGGGATGGTGCAGATATTTTACTGAAAGACAAAATAAGGAACTCTGCCCAACTCTCTTGGTCTGTGTTCTACATTTGCTGTGCTCCCTGGGGGTTACTTAGTCTCACTTTTCCTCTTGAAATATTGTGAGGCTTTTATCAAAATGTTAAATGCACCTGAGACCAGGCTTCTAGGAAATCAACTTTCTCTTGGCGCCTTTCCCTGCTGTTTTTTGTTGGGATGTAATTGCTTGACAATGTCGTGTTAGTTTCGGCTGTACCATGGAGTGACTCAGCCATATGTATCCATATATCCCCCTCCCAGCCCTCTAGGTCATCACAGAGCACCGGGCAAGCTCCCTCTACTGTCCAGCAGCTTCCCACCAGCTGTTTTTACGTATCTGTTTGATTGTTGCTTTCATATCTTACAGAGAAGGCTACCATGGAGTCCATTCCATAGAAAACAGGCATATTTCTTTCTCTGATTGTCAGTTCTCAGGGGTTATTTGCATTTTTTCCTTGTTATAGGAAATGCTGTTAAGATTCCAAGCCTATGGACTGCTTTACCAAAACCAGAGCAGTAAATGCACGAGAAAAAACGTTAGAGAATGTACACGTAAATGCAAAAATGACTGTCTTACTAGATTTCAAGGAATTAAGCTCTTTTAGAGATCAGAGATGGTGGGGAAGGGGAGGCAAACTTACATTACACTTTGTGAAGGACCCTCAGTTGTTTTGAGACACCTTGGTTTTTAAATTTAAGTTTTGCTGGTGTATAGTTACTGTGCAGTACTGTAAGTTATGGGTGTACAATTCAGTGATTCACAATTTCCCAAGACTGTACTCTATTTATAGTTATTTATAGTTACTATAAAATATTTAGATTTCCCATGTTGTACATCCTTGTAGCCTGTTTTGTACCTAATAGTCCTGATTTATTTAAATCTTGTATGTCAAACAAAATAACCAGATGCCACAGGTGAGTGTAAAAAGCAGAAATTTACATGAATAATGATTTCCTCTGGGTAAGTTTAGAATGTAGTCATTTGGGAAAAGGGCCTTACTTCTGGATTTTGTCTGCTTGCTTATTGTTTAGAATTTGGTTTTAACTACTATAACAATGAGGATTTGAAGCAGTCAAAGACTGCTTTGTTTATTTGAATTTTTTTGTGATTCCATACAAATTTTAGGATTATTTGTTCTAGTTCTGTGAAAAATGCCATGGGTATTATAATAGATATTGCATTAAATATTTAAGATGGTTTTCAGTAGTAAGGACATTTTAACAATACTAATTCTTTCAATCCACGAACACAGGGTATTTTCCACATTTTCTTTGTATCATCTTGATTCTCCTACATCAATGTGTTTTAGTTTTTAGAATACAGATCTTCCAGCTCTTAAATTAATCCCCAGGTATTTGATTCTTTTTTGATGCAACTGTAAACAGGATCGTTATGCTTTTTCTTTACAACAGTTCGTTATTAGTATACAAAATGCATTGTATTTCTGCATATCAATTTTGTATCCTGCAACTTTATATTAGCTTTAATAGTTTTTTCACCGTATCTTTAGGGTTTCATATGATCTGCAAATGGTGACAGTTTTACTGTCTCCTTTCCAATTTGGAAAGAGTTCCAGCAGTTCCCCCACATGTTTGGCATATGGCTTAGGGTTACTAAATGGTCTAAGTATCCTTTAAATCACTGTTTTTTTCCATGTGTCCCAAGGTGGGCAAGTCTGTGCACAGTGCTCTCAGGGGTATCCTTCCTACCATAGACCACAGTGTCAGAGGTGGATCCTAGTTTTCTTTTTAATTGGAAGATAATTGCCTTACAATGTTGTGTTGGTTTCTGCTATACAAAAATGTGAATAGCCATAAATAAGCACACATCCCCTCCACCCCCACTTCTAGGTTCCTGGTAATGCTGGGTCTCGGTTCCTCTATCATTTCTTGAGCAGAAGCAGTTCAGCCAGCCCTCAGTTCTTCAGGAGGAATTGCTTTCTGTCTGGGTCAGTGTGTTCATGGGAGGAATCTTTCCACTGTGCTGGCAAATTAAAACCTATCAGAAACTAATTAATCATAAAGCTTTGAAAATATACTTCATAGGTCACCTTGAAAAGTCACCGTTAATTCAACAAATGTAGTTTCTTGTGGACCTACTGTTTAAGTTCTGTATTTCCCCAGCAGAGGCAAGACTCAAACTATAGGGACTCAGTAGCTAGCTGGGAAGAACAGTAGTCTGCTTTCTTGATTTTAAGATGCTATTAGTATTAGATGCCCTGTTTTCTTGATACACAAAATTATTTTAAAACTAGGAGCCACGTCTCTGAAATTGTCTAAATGTGAATTGACATGTATGTCAATTAGAAATTGCATTGGCTGCCAGTAATAGAGACTGGAAACAATGACTTAAATGAGACAGACGTGTTTGTTGGTCTCTCCGTATAAAAGGAGTTAGTTGCGTGATGTCCGAGACCCAGGAGCTATCTACTGCACCAGGTCCTCATCCTGAAGAGCACTCCTCAGTCCAGTGTGGCTGCTGGGGCCCAGTGGTCACAGCCACATTCTGGGGAGGAAAGAACACCCCATGCCTGCTTAGTCTTCTTTATTAAGTCACTTTTCCAAAAGACTTACAAAAAGCCGCCATTTACCTCTCTCTCGTTCTCTTCTATAGCTCTAAGGAGAGCTGGAAAGTTGAATCTTTAAGATGAGCAACTGTCATCCAGAATAATATTTTTTACTCAGAAAGAGAGGCAACCAGACATTTCTGCTCCAACTTATTTTTAGTTTAAAATATATGATTCAAACTAACTTTATTGAAGCCGATTTAGCACCAGATAATTTCCTAGGAAACTTAAATATATTATCTTATTTAATTCTGTAATCCCAATGAAGTAGATATTATTCCATTTTACCTATGAGAAAACTGAAGCTAGGAAAGATGAACCTTGTCTTAAGGCCACTGAGCTAGAAACTGCATGCAATCCTACATGGGAATCTTTGTCCAGATATGGG